CTCGTCGACGCTGAGAAGCTCGAGTACGAGACGAAGGTTGTCAACTCAATCTTCTTTGAGGTGGACGGTCCGTACAAGGCCATGATTCTGCCCGCGTCAAAGGAAAAGGACAAGAAACTCAAGAAGCGCTACGCCGTCTTTGATGACGACGGCAACCTGTGTGAGGTGTGTGCGTGTGTGTGTGTGTGCATATCGTGTGCTGTGCCTGTATGCACGGAACGCTGGTGTTCTGCGCACACGCCTGCTGACACATGTGCTATCCGTGCGTCCGTGCGTGTGTGTGACTTGGTGCGCAGTTGAAAGGTTTTGAAATCAAGCGCAACGGTGAGCTCAAGCTCATCAAAATCTTCCAATCGTCCGTCTTTGAGGCGTTTCTCCAAGGAGACAACCTGGAGGAGGTGCGAATACCTTCTCTTCTGTGCCGTGTGTGTGTGTGTGTGTGTGTGTGTGTGTGTGTGTGTGTGTGTGTGTGTGTGTGTGTGTGTGTGTGTGTGTGTGTGTGGTGGATTACATTCGCGTCGACTGGTTTGCCGCAGCATCACCATTGCCACCACGGCTTACACCCCTCCTCCTCCTCCTGGCAATCGTCACTTCTTGCAACAGGTGTACGAGGCTGTTGCAACAGTGGCCGACCACTGGCTGGACATTCTCTACTCCAAGGGCGAGGGCCTCTCCTCGCAGGAGCTCTTTGATCTCATTTCCGAGAACAGGAGCATGAGCCGCACACTCAAGGAGTACGAGGGCCAGAAGTCAACCTCAATCAGCACCGCAAAGTCAGTGCAGGCAGTGTGTGTCGTGTGTGTGTGTGTGTGTGTGTGTGTGTGTGTGTGTGTGTGTGTGTGTGTGTGTGTGTGTGTGTGTGTGTGTGTGTGTGTGTGTGTGTGTGTGTGTGTGTGTGTGTGTGTGTCTGATTGCGTGTGCATGTGTGTGTCTGATTGCGTGTGCATGTGTGTGTCTCCTTGTTCGCCTTCAGTGTTGACAACAGAATGACCCGTCCGGTTCTCTCTGTGTCACATCGCTGCCTCTGTTAAATGTACTTGGGCAAAGGGGTCGTCGTGCAGCGCAGCAAATGTGTAGTACAGCAAGGCCTTGCCTTGGTCCGCGTCCACGCCCATGCCTGTCGCGTGCATGAACCCAACCAGCTGGGCCGACACGATGGGTATACGTGAGTAACGGTATCATCAATCAAGTGAGAGCTGACGACGACAAGTCCAGAGAAGGGAAAGCATGCAAAGACGGGAGGGGAAAACAAAGGGTGCGGGTGTCATCTGTCGATCAAGTGGCCGCAAGATGAGCTGTTCGTAAAGATGGCACATACGAATTGAGCAGCAGGGTGGCCTTTGTCTGCAGCGTATTGTGCGAGGGCGAGGGCTTCTTCGACGTCTCGCGCGAGCTTTGTTGTTGTCGAAGACCCAAACAAGTGCAGTGCTGCCAGCTTGACACGCGCATCATCATCATCCTTCTCGTGCACGGCCTGCGTTTGGTGGTTGTGGACGAAGGAGGAATGAAGGTGGCAAACATGAGCACATGAATTTGGTGAAGACGGGTGGACACACCCGAGGGCGTGGGTGGGGCCAATTGAGTGAACAAACCTCGACCAATTCGGCTACAGCGTCCGCGTCGGCGCTCTCAATCGTGTCCCAAATGGTCGCTGAGGGAGGCAATGGTGCCTCTGCAGCGGAGCCCTCCACGTCCTCCTGGTCGTCCAGGAAGTCATCGCTATCAGTGCCCAGGCCTACAGGCGCGACAGCAGGGGGACGGTTTTGAAGGGGAGATAGTGTGCTCGTGTGTGTGTGTGTGTGTGTGTGTGTGTGTGTGTGTGTGTGTGTGTGTGTGTGTGTGTGTGTGTGTGTGTGTGTGTGTGTGTGTGTGTGTGTGTGTGTGTGTGTGTGTGTGTGTGTGTGTGTGTGTGTGTGTGTGTGTGTGTGTGTGTGTGTGTGTGTCTGGTTTTTCTTCTGTGCCGCGCTAGCTGTTCCTGTGTTGCTCCATGCGCCTTTTTGGGGGGTTTCTTTCCCCCCCCCCCCCCCCCCGTTGTGTCCACGCACCAAGTGGCAAGGACAAGCACCACACGCCTCACCTTTTGAGAACGGGGAACAGCAGGACACCAGAAGTAACAGGGTCATGCATGCCAGCACCGGCAGGACGCGGCGCAACCTGGCAGTTGACGACACTGTCATCCCTGCCTCCTGTGCTTAGTGTTGGAGAAGAAGCAGTTGCGATGTGTGTCTGCTGCAATGCGTACAGTCTAGGAGAGAATGGCTTGTGGAGTGCAAGCAACAAACCCAAGAAGCTCATCATTAATGTGCTCAAGTTATTTGTATAGCCAAAATCGGCGCAATCTTCCATGGGTCCCCTGTAGTCCAGTGGTCTTAGGATATTGAGCTTTCACCTCAAAGACCGGGGTTCGATTCCCCGCAGGGGAGGTCTTCTCTTTTTTTTTGGCTCAAGACCACACGCACAAGCACTCTGCGTTCCTCTGCGAACGAGCTGCCAGTCGTGCTCTCGCTCGCTCGCAGTCTACACTCGCTTCCACTCACAACCTCACGCAGTGCTGGTGCAGTGGATATTGAGCTTTCACCTCAAAGATCGGGGTTCGATTCCCCGCAGGGGAGATGCTTGCTTTTTTTGGCTCAAGACCACACGCACAAGCAAGACAGGCACTCTGCGTCCCACAGCCTCTGTGCCAGCATATCTCTCTCTCTCTCTCTCTCTCTCTCTCTCTCTCTCTCTCTCTCTCTCTCTCTCTCTCTCTCTCTCTCTCTCTCGC